GGATGTGCCCAGAGGAGGGCGTGACCCCAGGTGGCTGTGACGCCAGGAGTGGGTGACCCTCCCACCCCTCTGTCACCTCCCCCCGTCCCCGCAGGCCGCGTGCGGCTGGAGGAGGGGGCTTCCCTCCGCCTGGACGCGCTGCGGGCCGAGGACCAGGGCTGGTACGAGTGCCGGGTGCTCTTCCTCGACCGCCACAGCAGCGACGCCGACTTCCAGAACGGCACCTGGATCCACCTCACCGTCACCGGTGCCTCCCCCGCGTCCCACCCATCCCGCCCTTCCCGGCGCTGGGAATGGGGGGGGGAACGGCGAGGGTGAGGGTCTCGTCTTGCCTTTCCAGCGCCCCCCACGTTCGTGGAGACCCCCGCGGCCGTGGTGGAGGTGCGGGATGGGGACCCCCTGAGCCTCACCTGCCGAGCCGGGGGGAACCCCCAGCCCGTGGTCACCTGGAGGAGGAGCGACCTGATCGTGCAGAGCGGGGATGAGGTGAAGGTGAGGGGGGAGAAACCCCCCCCGGGGCATTCCCTCCCCATTTAGGGGGGGTCTCCCACTTGGTTCGGGGTCTCCCCCCGGTGGTTTTTGCCCCCGTGGTGGTGGTGGTGGCGCCTGAGCTGGAAGGGACCCATGGGAGAGTCCAAATTCAACCCCTGGCTGGGGCTGGGACAGCCCAAAATCCACCCCATAACAACCCCTGCTGTCCTTCAGGGTGTGGAGCAAACACTCCTGGAGGGGAAGGGAAGGGAAGGGAAGGGAAGGGAAGGGAAGGGAAGGTTTGGGAAGGAAGGAAGGAAGGGAAGGTTTGGGAAGGGAAGGGAGAAGGGTTTGGGAAGGGAAGGGAAGGGAAGGAAGGAAGGGAAGGTTTGGGAAGGAAGGGAAGGGAAGGGAAGGGAAGGGAAGGAAGGGGAAGGGAAGGGAAGGAAAGGTTTGGGAAGGAAGGGAAGGAAAGGTTTAGGAAGGTTTAGGAAGGAAGGTTTGGGAAAGGAAGGTTTGGGAAGGGAAGGTTTGGGAAGGGAAGGGAAGGTTTGGGAAGGGAAGGTTGGGAAGGTTTAGGAAAGGTTTGGGAAGGTTTGGGAAGGAAGGGAAGGGAAGGGAAGGAAGGTTTGGGAAGGGAAGGGAAGGAAGGGAAGGAAGGAAGGGAAGGGAAGAGGGAAGGAAGGGATAGGAAGGGAAGGGAAGGTTTAGGGAAGGGAAGGTTTGGGAAGGAAGGTTTGGGAAGGTTTGGGAAGGTTTGGGAAGGAAGGTTTGGGAAGGTTTGGGAAGGTTTGGGAAGGTTTGGGAAGGTTTGGGAAGGGAAGGGGAAGGATTGGGAAGGTTTAGGGAAGGGAAGGGAAGGAAGGAAGGAAGGGAAGGGAAGGGAAGGGAAGGGAAGGTTTGGGAAAGGTTTGGGAAGGGAAGGTTTGGGAAGGGAAGGTAAGGGAAGGAAGGGAAGGTTGGGAAGGGAAGGTTTGGGAAGGGAAGGTTTAGGGAAGGTTTGAAGGGAAGGTTTGGGAAGGAAGGGAAGGGAAGGAAGGGAAGGAAGGAAGGTTTGGGAAGGAAGGAAGGGAAGGGAAGGGAAGGGAAGGAAGGAAGGGAAGGGAAGAGGAAGAAGGAAGGGAAGGAAGGAAGGGAAGGTTTGGGGAGGAAAGGTTTAGGAAAGGTTTGGGAAGGTTTGGGAAGGGAAGGAGGAAGGAAGGTTTGGGAAGGTTTGGGAAGGTTTGGGAAAGTTTGGGAAAGGTTTGGGAAGGAAGGAAGGAAGGGAAGGAAGGGAAGGAAGGAAGGGAAGGGAAGGGAAGGGAAGGGAAGGGAAGGTTTGGGAAGGGAAGGTTTGGGAAGGGAAGGGGAGAGGAGGGAAGGGAAGGTTTGGGGAGGGACAAACCCCGACCCAGATCTCGAGGGGGGTGAGGGACGGTGGGTGGGGATTTTTGAACCATCCCAGGCGGTGCCAGGGCTGGGATTTGGGGTGGTCCCCGGGGGTCCGTGGCACCTCCCCTCCCTCCTGGCCCTGCAGGTGGCCAATGGCACGCTGAGCATCGCGGCCGTGGGACGTGGCAGTGCCGGCACCTACACCTGCCACGCCACCAGCACCGAGGGCACCGCCACGCACAGCACCCGCCTGCTCGTGCTGGGTGAGCACAGGGGGGGACCAGGGTTCATTGCTGTCCCCTCACTGTCCCCTCAGTGTCCCCTCAGGGTCCCAGGGTTCATTCCTGTCCCCTCAGTGTCCCCTCAGTGTCCCCTCAGTGTCCCCTCACTGTCCCCTCAGTGTCCCAGGGTTCATTCCTGTCCCCTCAGTGTCCCCTCAGGGTCCCAGGGTTCATTCCTGTCCCCTCAGTGTCCCCTCAGTGTCCCCTCAGGGTCCCAGGGTTCATTCCTGTCCCCTCAGTGTCCCTTCAGTGTCCCCATTGCCCCCCAGGTCCCCAGTGCATCAGTGGTGCCCCTCAGTGTCCCCTCAGTGTCCCAGGACATTCCTGTCCCCTCAGTGTCCCCTCAGTGTTCCAGGGTTCATTCCTGTCCCCTCAGTGTCCCCTCAGTGTCCCCTCAGTGTCCCCTCAGTGTCACTGTCCCCAGGCCTCCAGTGATCGTGTGTGCCCTCAGAACGTGACACTGAACGTGTCCCAGGACATTCCTGTCCCCTCAGTGTCCCCCGGTGATCGTGGTGCCCCCCCAGAACGTGACACTCAACGTGTCCCAGGACATTCCTGTCCCCTCAGTGTCCCCTCAGTGTCCCCTCAGTGTCCCCTCAGTGTCCCACCCTGTCCCCCAGGCCCCCCGGTGATCGTGGTGCCCCCCAGAACGTGACACTGAACATGTCCCAGGACATTCCTGTCCCCTCAGTGTCCCCTCAGTGTCCCCTCAGTGTCCCAGGACATTCCTGTCCCCTCACTGTCCCCTCAGTGTCCCCTCAGTGTCCCCATTGCCCCCCAGGCCCCCCGGTGATCGTGGTGCCCCCCCAGAACGTGACCCTGAACGTGTCCCAGGTCATTCCTGTCCCCTCAGTGTCCCTGTCCCCCCAGGCCCCCCGGTGATCGTGGTGCCCCCCCAGAACGTGACCCTCAACGTGTCCCAGGACATTCCTGTCCCCTCAGTGTCCCCATGCCCCCAGGCCCCCGGTGATCGTGGTGCCCCTCAGAACGTGACAGTGAGCGTGTCCCAGGACATTCCTGTCCCCTCAGTGTCCCCTCAGTGTCCCCTCAGTGTCCCCTCAGTGTCCCCTCAGTGTCCCAGGACATTCCTGTCCCCTCAGTGTCCCCTCAGTGTCCCCTCAGTGTCCCTGTCCCCCCCAGGCCCCCCGGTGATCGTGGTGCCCCCCCAGAACGTGACAGTGAACGTGTCCCAGGACATTCCTGTCCCCTCAGTGTCCCCTCACTGTCCCCATTGCCCCCCAGGCCCCCCAGTGATTGTGGTGCCCCCCCAGAACGTGACCCTCAACGTGTCCCAGGACATTCCTGTCCCCTCAGTGTCCCCTGGTCCCCCAGGCCCCCGGTGATCGTGGTGCCCCCCCAGAATGTGACACTGAACATGTCCCAGGACATTCCTGTCCCCTCAGTGTCCCCATTGTCACTGTGTCCCCCAGGCCCCTGGTGATCGTGGTGCCCCCCCAGAACGTGACACTCAACGTGTCCCAGGACATTCCTGTCCCCTCAGTGTCCCCTCAGTGTCACTGTCCCCCCCAGGACCCCCAGTGATCGTGGTGCCCCCCCAGAACGTGACCCTCAACGTGTCCCAGGACGCTTTCCTGGCCTGCCAGGCCGAGGCCTACCCGGCCAACCTGACCTACTCCTGGTTCCAGGGCGGCACCAACGTCTTCCACCTCAGGTGGGGGGACACTGGGGGGGCTGGGGGACCCCCAGGGTGGGCTCTGAGTGATGGGGGGATGGGAGGGACCCAATGGGAGGATGGGGACCCCAGGGTGGGGTCTGAGTGATGGGGGATGGGGACTTCCAGGTGGGCTCTGAGTGATGGGGGACACCAGGGTGGGCTCTGAGTGATGGGGGATGGGGAGGGGGGACAATGGGGGGCTGGGGACCCCAGGGTGGGCTCTGAGTGATGGGGACCCCAGGGTGGGGTCTGGAGTGCTGGAGGATGGGGGACTCTCCAGGTGTGGGGTCTGAGTGATGGGGCTGGGGGACCCTAGGGTGGGGTCTGAGTGATGGGGGCTGGGGGACCCCAGGGTGGGCTCTGAGTGCTGGGGAGGATGGGATGGGGACAATGGGGATGGAGACCCTAGGTGGGGTCTGAGTGATGGGGGACCCCAGGGTGGGCTCTGGAGTGATGGGGGATGGGGGGGACACTGGGAGGCTGGGGACCCCAGGTGGGCTCTGAGTGATGGGGGACCCCAGAGTGGGGTCTGGGTGATGTGGGACTCCAGGGTGGGTCTGGGTGCTGGGTGGGATGGGGAGGGGGGAGAAAAGGGGGACTGGGGACCCCAGGGTGGGGTCTGAGTGCTGGTGGGATGGGAGGGGGGAGAAAAAGGGGACTGGGGACCCCAGAGTGGGGTCTGAGTGCTGGGGGATGGGGAGCCCCAGGGTGGGGTCTGAGTGCTGGGGACCCCAGGGTGGGGTCTGAGTGCTGGGGGATGGGGAGCCTCAGGGTGGGGTCTGAGTGCTGGGGATGGGGGACCCCCCCAGAGTGGGGTCTGAGTGCTGGGGAGGGATCCCCAGGGGGTCCCTGGGCAGGTTGGGGGTCTGGGGTATGATGAGATGAGCACTGGGGGGGTCCCTGGGCAGGTTGGGGTGATTTTAGGGGTCTGTAGGGTGATGGGGTGAGCACTGGGGGGGTCCCTGGGCAGGTTGGGGGTCCCTGGTCAGGTTTGGGGGTCCCTGGGCAGGTTTGAGTGTGTTGGGGTATCTGGGATATGATGAGATGAGCACTTTGGGGTCCCTGGGCAGGTTTGGGGGTCCCTGGGTAGGTTTGGGGGGTCCCTGGGCAGGTTGGGGGTCCCTGGGCTGGTTTGGGGGTCCCTGGGCAGGTTGGGGGTCTGGGGTGTGATGGGGTGAGCACTGGGGGTCCCTGGGCAGGTTGGGGGTCCCTGGGCAGGTTTGGGGTCTGGGGTATGATGGGTGAGCACTGGGGGTCCCTGGGCAGGTTGGAGGTCCCTGGGTAGGTTTGGGGTCCCTGGGCAGGTTGGGGGTCCCTGGGCAGGTTTGGGGGTCCCTGGGCAGGTTTGGGGGTCCCTGGGCAGGTTGGGGTTCCCTGGGCAGGTTGGGGGTCCCTGGGCAGCTTAGGGGTCCCTGGGCAGGTTTGGGGGGTCCCTGGGCAGGTTGGGGGTCCCTGGGTAGGTTTGGGGGTCCCTGGGCAGATTGGGGGTCCCTGGGTAGGTTTGGGGGTCCCTGGGCAGGTTTGGGGGTCCCTGGTCAGGTTGGGTGTGTTGGGGGGTCTGGGATATGATGAGGTGAGCACTGAGGGGTCCCTGGGTAGGTTTGGGGTCCCTGGGCAGGTTTGGGGGTCCCTGGGCAGGTTGGGAGGTCCGGGGTATGATGGGGTGAGCACTGGGGGGAGTCCCTGGGCAGGTTGAGGGGTCTGTGGTCAGATTGGGGGTCTGGGGTATGATGAGGTGAGCACTGGGGGTCCCTGGGCAGGTTTGGGGGTCCCTGGGCAGATTGGGGGTCCCTGGGTAGGTTTGGGGGTCCCTGGGCAGGTTTGGGGGTCCGGGGTATGATGGGGTGAGCACTGGGGGGTCCCTGGGCGGGTTTGGGGGTCCCTGGGCAGGTTGGGGATCTGGGGTATGATGGGATGTGTTGGGGGGTGTGCTGGGGTATCTGGGGTATGATGAGGTGAGCACTGGGGGGGTCCCTGGGCAGGTTTGGGGGTCCCTGGGCAGGTTTGGGGTCCCTGGGCAGGTTTGGGGGTCCCTGGGCAGGTTGGGGGTCTGGGGTATGATGGGGTGAGCACTGGAGGGGTCCCTGGGGAGGTTGGGTGTGTTGGGGGGTCTGGGGTATGATGGGGTGAGCACTGGGCAGGTTTGGGGTCCCTGGTCAGGTTAGGTGTGTTGGGGGGTCTGAACTATGATCAGATGATCACTTGGGGGGTGGGGGTCCCTCCCCAAATTGTGGGGGTTCTCTTTCCCCCTCCTCCACCTGGTTATCTCTTTGGGGTGAGTTCTGTATCCCCCTCCCCCCCACACAACCAGGGGGCTCCCCCCATGACCCTAGACCTGCAGATCCCAATCCCACCACGATCTCCCCTTTTCCCCACCCCTCCCCTCCTCTGTGCATCCCTCGACTCCTCCCCCGTGCCCCCCAGCCGGCTGCGAGCCCGGGTGCGAGTGCTGGTGGATGGGACCCTGCTGATGAGGAGGATCCTCCCTGAGGACTCGGGGAGATTCACCTGCACCCCCAGCAACGGCCTCGGGCAGCCCCCCTCGGCCTCCGCCTTCCTCACCGTGCTCCGTGAGACCCCCGGGCTGGGGGAGGGACGGGGGGGGGAAATGGGAGGGGAAAAGGGGGAAATGGGGGTGAAAAGGTTCAAAATGTGATGGAAAAGGTACCAAATGGGACCAAAAAGGGAGGAAATGTGGTGGAGAAGGCACCAAGTGTGACCCAAAAGGTCCAAAATGTGGTGGAAAAGGCACCAAATGGGACCCAAAAGGGATGAAATTGAGGAGAAAAGCACCAAATGTGACCCAAAAGGTCCAAAATGTGACGAGAAAGGCACCAAATGTGACCCAAAAGGGACGAAATGTGGTGGAAAAGGCAGCAAATGGGACTGAAAAGGGAGGAAATGTGGTGGGAAAGGCAGCAAATGTGACTGAAAAACCACCAAATGGGACCTAAAAGGCCCAAAATGTGGTGGAAAAGGCATCAATTGGGACCAAAAAGGGAGGAAATGTGAGGAGAAAGGCACGAAATCTGACCCAAAAGATTCAAAATGTGATGAAAAAGGCAGCAAATGTGACTGAAAAGCCCCCAAATGGGATCCAAAAGGTCTAAATGTGAGGAGAAAGGCACCAAATGGGGCCCAAAAAGGAGGAAATGTGGTGGGAAAGGCAGCAAATGGGGCCAAAAAGGGAGGAAATGTGGGGGGGAAAGGGAGGAAATGGGGGTGAAATGGGAGGAAATGGGGGGGGAAGGGAGAAATGGGAGTGAAAAAGGGGGGAAATGGGAAAGGGAGAATGGGGATGAAAGGAGGCCTCCGCCTTCCTCACCGTGCTCACGTGAGACCCCGGGATGGGGAGGAGGACGGGGGAAATGGGAGGAAATGGGACCCAAAAGATTCAAAATGTGATGGAAAAGGCACCAAATGGGGCCAAAAAGGGAGGAAATGGGGTGGGAAAGGCAGCAAATGGGGCTGAAAAGGGAGGAAATGTGAGGAGAAAGGCACTAAATGTGATGAAATAGCCCCCAAATGGGACCTAAAAGGTCCAAAATGTGGTGGGAAAGGCAGCAAATGGGGCTGAAAAAAGGGAGGAAATGTGGGGGGAAAGGCAGCAAATGGGACCAAAATGGGATGAAATGTGGGGGGAAAGGGAGGAAATGGGGCTGAAAAAAGGGAGGAAATTTGGGGGGAAAGGGAGGAAATGGGGATGGAAAGGGAGGAAATGGGGGTGATAAAAGGGAGGAAATGTGGGGGGAAAGGCAGGAAATGGGGGGAAAAAGGGAGGAAATGGGGGGAAAAAAGGGAGGAAATGGGAATGAAAAGGGAGGAAATGGGGGTGAAAAAAGGGAGGAAATGTGGGTGGAAAGGGAGGAAATGGGGATGAAAAGTGAGGCCTCCGCCTTCCTCACCGTGCTCCGTGAGACCCCCGGGCCGGGGGAGGAGGGGGGAAATGGGAGGGGAAAAGGAGGAAATGGGGGTGATAAAAGGAGGAAATGTGGGGGGAAAGGCAGCAAGTCTGACCGAAAAAGGGATGAAATGTGAGGAGAAAGGCACCAAATGGGACCCAAAG